GGGTAAGTGAATGTAAGTGAAGGCAGCTACCAGCTTGAGCTTCCCTTTTGGCGAACAGGCTTCTTTTTGAGGTGTGTTCCTGCTGTTTGCATGCGATACTCGCTGAGCAGCCCATCGCAGCGCATCGCATCGTATTCGTGCAATATTTCTTCTTCATTTGTTGGCATAATTTACATATGGTTATGTAAGCCGAATCCGACTGCGGCATGTTTTATTTAATTGCCAAAATCCAGCAAATGGCCAAATGGAGAAAGATCCGTCAATTGGGCACAGCAAAAAGCTAGCCTTATATCGTTTTCAGCACTCCACGGAGCGATTACTTTGGGATGGGTGCGTAGCTGTTGCCCAATTTGTTGGCCATTTCTCGGTCACAGCATGAGAGCAGCGCAATAATTGGTAAACAAATTCTCAATTAACATAAGCCCAATGACGCGTTCAGTCGAGCACTTTCCAATTGAGTCAATGCTTTCGACCGTTTAGAGAAAGAGACATGGCACATTGTTATATTGTTATATTTTGTATATTAGCAATAAAAGTTCTATTGATTTTGCTCTCGCACCCATTTCCACCGTGAAACCGGCTTTGGGCTCAAAACAAAACTTGACAAACGTTTTTTATGTATTTATTTTTTTTGCTATAAATAAATCTGTGTCATCCACAAAAGCGGGCCAACAAAAGCCAAATTAAATACATATTCAAGCCATTCATGATTATGCAATTTATAAAATTAAGTGAGAATGTCAGACACGCAAACTGCGTTTTTGTTGTTGTTGTTTTTGATTCTTTCATTTATTTTATACTTGTTTCACTTCGATTTGGCTAATAAACTCGCTTTAGTCCTATGTAAAAAATTAAACTTTCCCAGCATAAACAAATGATTCAGGCAACGAACTTGGCCGCCAGCATTGGAAAATGTCATGCATAAATATAGTAATAACGTTGTGAGCCCTGCCTAATTAAATGCGCCTCATAAATATTTAAAATCCCTGATTGATCGAGAAGTATTGCAGCTATCGCAGCTCCATCGCAGCCATCGCAGTTCCGTTTCGTGTTGGGATGCTATTAAAGCGCAGTCGAATTTGATTCTAAGCGGTCGCTGGATATTGCAAAATCACTCTCACAATCTTATATTCAGAAATATATATAGATATATATGTAAGTAGGAATTGGCGGCTGTGTGAGCGCCATAACCACTTATTATTTTAATTAAATTTTATGATAAAGACAAAGCCCAACAGCCGCCCAGTTGTCAATGGCAAAAGCCAAAACAAATGTGCTTGTTATACCCCGCATAGCTGAGAGTTGTTGCAATGGGTAGATGGATGGATAGAGTGAGGGAGACTACGTAACTCTGATGTCCAAGTAACACAATCTTTTCCGGTAAATATAAAAATTGAAACAATGAACTTGGCCACGAAAATAATAATAAATTTTTAAACGCCAGTTAGGTCTTTTACAATATTAAACTAAAATAAATCCTTCATTGTACTTATCATTTGTATTTATTTATATGGGACACTTTATTTTTAATACAATTTTAGTATACTAAATAGTTGTTTTTTACTTTTTTAGTTAAATTATTATAATTAAAATACTCTCTGCTTAATAAAATCTATAAATAATTAAAGTCTCCCTTACAGGGTAGTTTTAGTCGGTGGCAGCTCGGCTTTTTGCTGCAATTATGCAATTGTTTAGCTTGGCCCGCGCTGGTTAGCTTCKCGCGTTCTCGACGTCAGCTGCTGCTGCTGCCGCTGGATCTATGCAAATTCTATGTCTTTATGCCGCAGCGAAATAATTATACATACAGCTGTAGTTATCAGCAAATTGAAACAACAGCCGCAACGAGTAGACCTTAGGACCCCCGAAAATCTATTGTCGATTGCAGCAACGCCCACGATTTTGGCCAAGTCAAATGCAAGGCAAAACAATAACAACAACAACAACAACGACAACAGCAGCAGCAACAATGTTGTCTCTTGCCCTTCAATAGCAGCGGCAGCTGCTTGGCATTGTTATTGCTGCTGTTGTTATTGTTGTTGTTCTTGTTGCTGCTGCTGCTGCTGCTGTTGTGCAGCATGATAATGCAAACATTATGCACTTCATTTCATTTGGATTGAAGATTGAAGTAGCTGTGTTTTTTTCTTTTTTCAATACCTCAATTAACTCATTATGCGCATGCGCAACTTCTGTTTAGCCGAAAATCTTGCAGCTTTGTTTGCCCAAGATGTCTATCACACCAGAAGCTTACACGACCATTTTTTTAGCATCTGAGATTTCACATCTCGTGAGCAGGGATAGTCGCTTGTTTCTAGTTAAGAAATCGTGAGTTGCTGGCAAAAAGAGTTCCGTTTTAACGTTGCGCTTGAGTTAATTGGTAATCTGTTATATTAAAACCCAGAAAACTCGTGAAAGCGAACAATATTTACAATATATAGATATTTAAATTATCATAATTTTAATGTAGTGCTAAAGCTGCAGAGCTACGTCATATATATATCAAAGGAAAGTAAACTTCTTCGGATGCGCTTGAATCAGAAAAAAAAATTGAGAATCAAATGTTGGGAGTCCTCGACTGGAAGATAGCCATTATTTATTAAGTAAATTCCTGTATACATGACATTTTTGTCACGTAAAAATTACTTTACCATAATGCTTGCATTTGCAAAAGGCCAAGTATAAATAATTAGTATTCATTGCAGGCACTTGTATTAAAATTTCGACTGCACTGAGTTTTTAAAAATTCCTTTATTTGTAGTACATAATTCGCATGCTTTTGCATAGCTCCTGCCTTAAGATTATTTATATTCCACATCATTTTACGTGATGTTCTGCTATAAGATTTTAACAGATATTTCATTTATGTTTTTCGTTCAGTCTAATAAACTTATAAAATCTTTTAAGATTTTTTTTTTTTCAAATTATTATCTAGGTTCGAAAAAGATTAAGCAAATTTCACTTTTAACATGGAATTAAATATTAGGATCTTTTCAGTCGTAGTTGAAATTTGATTTAAGCGTGATCAACATACAAATAAATTAGTTTGTAGATGAACTTAAAATTTATTATATTATTTTAAATAATTGCGTGTGCGATTGTCATATAAGAAAATTTCAGCTGTGCCTAGGCCAGAGGCACCATTCATTCGATATCCACTTCGCCAAGATAGTTTGCATCCCAGGCAGCCATGAAATCTCATAGACTGCACGCTGTGTGTAAGATATGGTATACTATTAGTAGCCATCTGAGAGTTGCATTGAGCTCGTCTCATAGTTAGGAGTTTGCAATGTAGCTAGAAAATGATGTGAGAGGATTCATGTCAAAATTGACCCGGGACAACGCTAGTCTCGATCTTCACGAGAGACATTTGCCCGGTGGCATATATATTAGATATATTCAAACAAATCAGGAACGACCCGATAGTTCAGTTATTGTAAAGGACGCCAGATATTGAATAAATTAAATTCACTGAATTTGAATGACAACGGTATCATGTTGGGCTCTACGCAATTATATCTGCAAACATAACATATAAGAACTTTAGTTATTTTCATGAATGAAGGCAAGTATTTCTGTTACTTTACTTTGAGCTTTTCCGAAAAAATTTACTTGTTTTCGCTAGTATGTTCAAAGAGGCTTTCCAGACAAATCCATTACGTTTGTAGAGGATTCTCCAATTCCAACGGCTCGTCGATTTGATGAGACACTTGCTTGCCGTACCTTGTGCTGTCAGGCCTTGCCATTGGCAGCTGCTTTCCCGGTATGCTCTCCGTCGTCTGCTCGCGACTGTGCGGGAGCTGCCTGAGGTGCATTTTTTTTGTATCGCAGTTGGCGAAGAGGCGACACCACGCTGAGGGCCAATGGCAGCGGCACGGGGGAATGTGTTCCAGATTGTCGTTAGTCTTTGGCAGCATTCTCAGGCCGGCGTGGCGCATTTGCCTCAGCCTGGCCACATCCTCCATCGCAATAATCAGTGTGAAGATCATCAGCGCACATAATGTGCCCATTACAAGGAAAAAGAGAGCATTCTGCAGCACTGCCTCTATGCAGTTGGCAAGCTTCGACAGCAGCCGACTGCCCCTTGAAGGCTTCGTCTCGTCTTCCCCGCGCTCCATATTGCGAAAACTAAGAACTGCTTAAAATTTTGTTTACATTTATGTATGTAAATACATATGCTAAAAAAAAAATTTTTGTTTTTCTAAAAATCTAAAACCAAATACTAAAACTAACAAACCATACAAAGAAATGGAATGACTTGAAACTCTGAGAGCCTCTGTTGCTTGATAGACAAGTTTGAGTGTCGAGTCGAAACTGCTCGACTAGGAGTTCTTCTGAGCCCTGATATTCCAATTATTCTCTGAATCTAAAAAAACTCATACACATATACGTGTATACACACGTATACACATGCACGCGCAATTAGAAGCGAGTGCTGCTTTTAGGCAAATAAATCAACAATCTATAAATTTCGAAATCCTCTGTTCTACAGGATTCAAAATTACGCTTGAAATAACAAATGATCGATCATCGTTAATTGGAAATGGGTGGAATTATCGATCAAATATAGTCTTGTACTGCATATGGTTAATACGAGCATACATAAAAAGTCCAGGTCGTTAGCTCCTGCAGTTTAGGCGGAGAGACAGCCACACTTAGTTCGTCTCCCTGACCAAGAATATATATACTCTATGGGGTCTTCCACGATTACTTCTGACTGTAACATACTTTCTCCCAAAACCAATACAGCCAGTTTTCCCATTTCATTCAAAGGCCTTAAGTAATATAAAGGGACAGCTGTCATTCGACGTTAACCATTGTCACTTTATTCTACAGATTGACAAGCATTGGCAACGCCAGTATTTAACCATATGGAACCCATTTAAAAAAGTGATTCACGTAAAGATTTATGTAATTATTTATGTATTATTATTTACAGGATGGGATATTATATCGTATTTGTGTGTGTAGTTAACAATGTGGATAGTGTTTATATATATTTTTTATAAGGGGTAGATTATAGTTATTTGCGGAAGACATCTTTGGAGATGAATCGGGATGCAGCTGTAAAATAGTGGGATGAATATAAATTAATTTTCACATGGCATATTCGAGACTCACCTTATTACTGCCACCGAAACAAATTGAAATCTGGGCGTCAAAACACATGTATTTATAATAGCCATTTGAGAGTTGCATGCTGCTTATCTCATAGTTAGGATTTACGTATAGTTATGTATCTTAAGATTTAGGTATTATTTCTGCGTATGCAAGTGATTGCATATTGTTAATATTGACCCGGGACTATGTCTCAATCTTGACGAGAGACATTTGCCCGGTGGCATATATATATAATTGAACTTCAAACTTTATCAGGAGATACCCGACAGTTCGGAACTTTAAGTGACGCCACAGTTGAGGAGGAAGTTGATGTGCTTAATGACAAGTAAGGTGCAGTTGATTAAACCGATGTTTCTATTTACAGAATGGTATGTGTATGCCTCTATTTTTACGGCTTATTTGTAAGCTGAGAGTAATTTGAGAGTAATTAGCATATTTATACTCACATGGCGATTTGTAATTATATTTACCAACTAGCTGATAACCGAAGACCTATTCACCGGCTGAGGATGGTTCGTCCCGGAGCAGTTGGCTCGCGGTGGAACAGGCGGCACCATTCCCTGGGCCAGAGGCAATCGTAGGAGCGCGGTCGGCGCTTGAGTTCCTGCGCCGTCAAACTGTTGAATGCTGAGAAAAACAGCACAAAAATCAGCGCCGACACCGAGAAACAGATGAGAAATATCAGCAGCTCCCGTAGAAAAACCTTGCAAAACCCGACGAAAGTATCGGGCTCCTCGTCGCCATCGGAACTTCGCTTCAGATTATTCAGCACTGCCATTACAAATAAAAAAAAAAAAAAAAACAAAAAAAAAGTACAAAACTAGTTATTAGCAAAAATTTGATATAAAATAATTCCGAAGCCGAAATAATGAAAACAACTTTGCGTTGAATATTCCAAAGAAAAAAAAAAAGAAACTAAAACTTTTCCACGTCGTGCATTTAGAATAATATATTTTCAAATGGAATGGGAAAAAATAGTAAAATTTTGTTGGTTACTCATAAAATTTATTTTCTACTGAAATTTGGAAGCCGAAATGTGATGTTAGCTGCTCAATGCGAGCATCTAAAATGACTGAAATATGTTTGCCTCTAGCTTAGGTACCAAATCGTTTGCCGATGAAATCCAGGGCCTACTGTCGTTCATACATTTTCCCAACTTTCCCTAGCAGCTAGGTGTTGACCGAATCTCCAGCTCAATTTGGTGTAATTGAAGGCCTTTAACGGCATTTTAGCGATCCATTAGACTGGCGTTTGATGTGATTGAATTATTGGACACTTAAATGGGCGTCTCGAGCCCAACTTGCAGATGTCCAAAGCGATGCCCCCTCTGGCGTGGAAAAGCGTGAAAAACCTTTTTCTTGTTGCCCATTTAGCAGCACTCTCAACACTTCTGCTCCTGACCGTCCCCACCAATGCCCCTCCCCAATTCGAAGACTTCACATATCGTATTATTGCTGCTAATGAAGATGTTGCCCCATGGGACTCTGGCGTTTTATTAGTCCGGAAGTGTTATACTACATGTTGGAATCTGCACATCTCCGACAGTTCAGTGCGATGGGCACGGATAGATGAAGCATGTTAGGGGTAATTGGAGTTTAATTTGATTAAAGCATTGCTGCTTACGTAATGCCCGTTATTTAACAGTTATTTTGAAGGTATCTTTGAGGCCATCGAGATGCAGGCGATAATGAAGCCTTGCAGTAGTCGTAGAGGGGCCATACTTTGGATATGAAATGGTATGTATCTGTATCTGTATCTGTATCTGTATCTGTATCTGTATCTGTATCTGTATCTGTATCTGTATCTGTATCTGTATCTGTATCTGTATCTGTATCTGTATCTGTATCTGTATCTGTATCTATATCTGTATCTGTATCTGTATCTGTATCTGTATCTGTATCTGTATCTGTATCTGTATCTGTATCTGTATCTGTATCTGTATCTGTATCTGTATCTGTATCTGTATCTGTATCTGTATCTGTATCTGTATCTGTATCTGTATCTGTATCTGTATCTGTACCTGTATCTGTATCTGTATCTGTATCTGTATCTGTATCTGTATTTGTATCTGTATCTGTATCTGTATCTGTATCTGTATCTGTATCTGTATCTGTATCCGTATCTGTATCTGTATCTGTATCTGTATCTGTATCTGTATCTGTATCTATATCTATATCTATATCT